TGGGTATGGGTATTCGGGCCTGGGCGGATGTGTATGTATGTGTGTGTGTGCGTGTGCGTGTGTGTGTGTGTGTGCGTGTGCGTGTGCGTGTGCGTGTGCGTGTGCGTGTGCGTGTGCGCGCGCGTGTGTGTGTGTGTGTGTGTGTGTGTGTGGGGGATGGGGTGGACATCGATATATCTATGTATATGTATCATATATGTATATATACACGGTTAAAACGGTATGATTGTGCATGTATATGTTATATACATGTATAGATGTGCGTATGTATGTGTTTATGTATGAATGTATAAATCTGTGATCTGTATATATGTAGATGCATGCATGCGTGTATGTATGCATGTACGCATGTGTATAGGTGTGTATGAATGTATGAATGTATGTATGTATGTATGTATGCATGCATGTATGTATGTATGTATGTATGTATGTATGTATGTGTGTGTACTTGTCTGCATGCGTGCATGCATGCATGCATTGATGTATGTACGTGTATGTGTGTATGCGTTCACGTAGTGCATGTATGTCTGTATGTATGTGTGTCTGTATGTATGTGTATGCATGTATGTATGTATGTATGTATGCATGCATGTATGTATGCATGTGTGCATTGATGTATGTACGTACGTACGTACGTATGTATGCATGCATGCATGCATGCATGCATGCATGCATGTGTGTGTATGTGTATGTATGGAGGTTTGTGTGTATGTATGCATGTGTGTATGTATGTATATGTGTATGACAGTATGTATGTACGTATGTATGTATGTCTGCCTGCCTGTATGTATGTATGTATGTATGGATGTATGTACGTACATGTGCATGTATGTATGTATGTATGTATGTATGTATGTATGTATGTATGTATGTATGTATGTATGTATGTAAATATGTATGTATGTATGTAGGTATGTATGTATGTATGTATGTATGTGTGTGTATGTATGTGTGTATGTGTGTATGTGTGTATGTGTGTATGTGTGTATGTATGGATGCATGTATTATATATATATATATACATATATGTATATACACACATATGTGTGTATGTGCTTCGGGGTAGGCGGCGGGCGAACCCAGGACCACGGCAACGGTGTGGCATGGCCGCCCCGGTGGCTCCACGAGCAGCCCCGTGGCCTCCAAAGTGGCCCCGCGGGCGCACAGACGGCCCAAAGAATGGTACGAAAGTCTACTACTAAGTCGTGCCCGTCCCTCTACAGGAAGGATATATATATATATATATATATATATATATATATGGATGGTTTCATCATACAAATTTAGTCCAGGGGCGATTTGTCGATTATGTTTGGCTCTTCTTAAGCAGTGTTGGAGTATTGTCAAGTTTTTCTCCGAAATCCGCCTGTGGGGGGACATGCCCGACCTAATGCCAGACTGGTCCACCACGACCGAGAGCGCCGAGGATGGCATGAGAACGGCCTCCGAAGGCTCCAGGCTGCGCCAGGACGGCACCAGGCGGGCTTCAGTCGGCGCCCGAGGTCCCAGGCGAGCGCCCCGAGATGCAAACATAGTGGATCCCGCTCGGGTGTTGCAATGTTTTGTTGGCGATCCTCCACTGTTCGAGCTTTCATCAATCCAAGACGGCACACGAGGCCCCCAAGACCGCTCCAGGACGGGCCAAGAGGCCTCAGGAGAGCCCCAGGACGGCCCAAGAGGGTTCAAGACGGCCACAGGGGCGCCCAAGACGGCCCAAGAGGGTCTAAAGACAGCCCCAAGAAGGCTTCAAGAGGGGGAGCACGAACTGAAAATTCAAGGTTTCCGCCCCGAGAGGCCATCAGGAAGCGCCAAAGAAGGCCCAGCCCCACGAGGCCCCCAAGAGGCTCCCACGACGCCCCAGAAGGGCCCAAACCAGCCCCTAAGAGGCCTCACAATGGCCCCACGAGGCCCCCGAGAGGCCTCCAGCGACTTCCATTCGAACATCCGAGAGGCTTTGACCCAAAGTCCAGGCACGGCGGCAGGATGGGCGTTGCAGCCCCAACACGGCCCAAGCCATCATTTTCCCAGAGAGCCTTCGGGGAACTTGATTGCCGCCGCCAGTCCGAGGAGGAGTTCATGGAGGCAGAGGCGGAGGAGAGGGAGACGGCATACGGCGGCAGATAATGATGACGAAGAGAATGAGGATGACAATGGGGTTGAGAATGAGGACGATTTTCCAAGCGAGCTTCCAAGGCAGCCTCAGTGGCGCCCAAGACGGCCCAGGATGTTCAAAGCCAGCCCCAGAAGGGCCCAGAAGGGAAAGAACGAACCGAAGCCCAGCTTGCTCCAAGACAGTCCTGAGACGGGCCCAGGGGGGGGCGCGTGAACCGAACACTCGAGCCGTGTGCCCCAATCAGGCCCTCAGGAGGCCCCGAGAAGGCCCCGAGAGGCGCCCAGGAGCATTCCAAAGAGGCCCCCAAGAGGCGCACCCGACGCCCCAGAACGCCCCAACGCGGCCCCCAGGAGCCCCCAAAACGGCACCCAAGAGGAGGAGGCCTTTTGCGACATCCTGCCGAAAATCCCACGGGCGAGTATGCACACATGCATATGTGTATGCTCGCCCCCTGTGATCATAAGTTTCGCCTCCTCCCTTATCCTCTTGCGTTATTCTATGAGCAGGAACATGTATGATCATTGGGGGGACCATCTAATACATATATATATATATAGAAAGAGAGAGAGAGAGAGAGAGAGACAGAGAGACAGAGAGAGAGAGAGATGTGCATTCGGTCCCCCGAGTATCACAACCCAGTCAGTGGTCATGGATATTAGCCCCCCGCATACGTACCCAGGGGGGGGAAGCTGGAGTCCTGCTGAGGCGCGGAGCACGAGGACGAAGGCCACGGCGAGGGCGAGGGCGAAACGTGGCCAAACGAACAGCACAACAGCATCTTGGGCGCCGAAACTCGGGGACATGCGAGTGGGGCTGGCGTGGGGTGCGTCCGAATATCCCTTGATGGGAAGTGTGTGAGGCTGGAGGAGAGAAAGCGCTTGCGAGATCCTGGCGCACTCGATCCCCAGGCACGGCGGCGGCGAAGCGGAACCCGGACGCATCGGGCAGCCGCATGTTGGCTTGGGGAGGAAGTATTCACCAATCAGTGGATGTTTTGATGAGATCGATGGTGAGATCGACTGAGTGAGATGAATCGTGAGATCGACCATGAGATCGATAATGCGTCGTGGGATCGATAAAGAGATCGATAAGGAGACCAGCCGGGAACCCAGGAACCCGGAACCCACCGAAGTCGGCCTGGAACCAAAAGCCAGGAACCCGGGAGTCGGGAACCCGAAAACCGCAAACCCAGCTGGCCGCCCAAATCGGCGGGAACTTTTCGCCAAATCTTTCAATATCCGCTCGGACCCCTTCAGTGCAAGCCTTGCTTGGGGAACGATCATAAGCTTTCGAAGAAACATGAACTGTCAGAGGTCCGCGCGGATTTCTCGGCGTATCGGCGTTGGGCCCCCTCGGAGGCGTCCCTGGCGCCGCCCCCGGCCCGCTCCTCGCGCGCCGATGCGCCAGGTGGCGCACCAGGGGGGCCCAACGCCGATCGAAGGAATGCGCGCGCATCTCCGAAAGAGCAAGTCTGTGCAGTTGATTGTTTCCTCCAGACCTCGGGGGCTCGGCCATCCTCCGCGGCAGACGAAGGCGGCTGCCCCCTCTGGCACACTGCAGTGCAGGGGCTTTCCCTCCTGTGGCTGTTTGTGCCGTCGCATCGTCGCATGTGGCCACCCTCGCCACCGTTTCCGAGAGTCCGAAGGGGTGACAAGCGGTAAAACACCGCTCCCCGCTCCACATTGGCCAGGGAATCTCCCATGAGGTCCTAAGACGCCCTATCCTCAGGAAGGCGCCCAACTTACATACTAGCTCCTCCCTGTTACATCCTTTGGAGCGGGTCACCTGCCACGTCACGAGTTTGCCTATCCAGTTCCACACTCGTGCTGGGTCACTCCTGCATATTGGTATGAGCAGTTGCTGTACCGAGCTTCCTCATATGTTGCGCAGCTGGAAGACGATGCTGCCGTGTGTGTATTCTCCTCCCTCGTCATTTTCATCCCCATCATCCCTTCACGGATCCGTGATGTGACCGCGTGAGTTTGCCAAGTGGCCACGCGACACCGCGACGTTCGCGATCGTTTGCCTCGACCGATCACGTGCTTCTGTGTCGCTGGGTTGCGCATCTGCGGGCGTGGTTGCAGGCGTCAGCTGGCCCGCACCCCCAACGCATCTTCCCCCTCCCGCCCCCATCCCCCCCCCCGCTCGTGCGCCCCTTCTCCTCGTCCCCCGCCATCCTCTTCCTCCCCTGTGGAACATCCTCGGGCCCTCCGCAACGCCATGCTCATGATTCTCCGCCCCCCTCCGCCCGGGCCCGTGCCTCCGGCCCCGCTCCTCCTCCGCCGCCTTCGCCAGCGTCCCCGCCCCCCCTGCCGTCTCCACCCGGAGGAGCCCCGCCCAACAACCCCGAGAGCCTCTCGCCCCTCCCGCCTCCCCGCCTCCCCCATCCGGCCCTCTCGCTCCATCCCGGCGACTTTCCCTCTACGCAGCGTGCGTGCAGGAGCCCCTAAACCCTAAGAACTAAGAGCCTATAAATACTTAAATCCTGAAGCTCTCACGGCCGCCCTTCCGCGCCCCTTCTGCCGCCCCCCATTTCGGCGCACCCCTCACGCAGATTCTTGGCCTCGGAGTGCCAGGAATGGCGTTCTGGGAGGAGATGCTGGCATCGGAATGCCAGACATGGCGTCGTTAGACTTTTGCGAAAGGTACGGGCGCGACCTCGACCCTTTCGGGTTGAGCGCCGCCCCCGTGCCCTTCCCCAGGGGCCGCCGCGTGGAGGCTGGACATGGCCCCCTGGGTTTCCGAGCGGCTATGGCCGCCCCGTCGCGCTGACACTCCGCGGCGCGCTCAAGCGCCACGGAGCCAGCGCGGCAGGACGACCACGGCCGCCCAGAAGCTCCCCTCCCTCGGGAGCCTCTCGCCGAGAAGCTCCCGGAGGAAGGCGCAGCTGCGCCTCGTCGACGCTTTTCTGGGGGCGCCGCGGTGGGCGGCGGTGGTGAGCGGCGCAAGCCGGGTCTCAACGCATCGCTACGATTCCGCCGTGACGCGGTGGAGGGCTCGGCCCAGCGCCAGCGACACGGTGTGGAGACAACATCGTCGTCGTTTTGAGATCAATATGTCTTGGGTCATGGGCGGGTGGGACACGTCCAACAGGCTGCGGGTTTGTGCTAGTGGACCCTAAACCCTAAACCCTAAACCCTTCCCTTCTTCCGTCCCGGCCTGTGCCCCTCCTCCCCCCCTTCCCCCCCCCCCCCGTGATATCCTGCACCTCCCGCCACGAAGCGCTGCCCTGCCCACCAGGAGGTCGAGAGCAAGCGCATGGGGATGCACTGGTACTTCTTAGGCGCGCCTGAACTCGTCACCATCTGCCGACGATGATCCTTCTCCGTTCCTCCTCATGATGTTCCGTTTCGGGGGCTCCAGTGAGCTGTGTGAATGAATACATCTCTTCTTATTCCTCTTCCTTCTCCTTTATCTCCGCCGTACCCCTTATCCTGCTCCTCCGTCCCTTTTCCCTTTTCTTCTCTCCTCCCTCCTCCTCGTCCTCCTCTTTCTGCTCTTCCTCCTCCTCTTCTCTCCCTCATCCCCTCTCCTCATTCCTTCCCTGGCAGAGCCCCCGAGGCAGCACGCTCAGTGGTTGTTCCTCTCCCCGAGACACCTGCGCGACCCAGGAAGCATCCCTCGCGGGCACCTTCGCCCCATCCGGGCCCCAGGGCACCCGCGGATCGGTCTGGTCCAAGAGCTTCAGTATCCGCCCGAGGCATCAGTGTGCACATATCTAACCAGCCTCGAACGTATCCTTATCCCTAAGATTGACACGCCAAAAGGCGATGACAATCTTAGGGATTCGCCCTCAAAAAATAAGAGAATCCCTAAGATTGGCATCGTGATGAGGAGGTGCCCAGCATAGGGATAGGGATATGTTCCAGGCTGGTAAATATCCACCCCACGGGGGAGCGGATGTTCCAGACCCCGTCGAGTCGCGCAAAAAGATCAGGACGGGAAGTTTGTCTCGCTATGTTCAGCTTCTGGGGGCCTCTTACCGGGCCTCGGGACCGTCGAAGCACGACTCGGGATGCGAAGCCGGTCCTGGGGTTTGTGTCGAGACCTCTGGCCAGGCCGACGCTCCGAGGAATTCCCGACGTCGGGGGTCTGGGGCCCCAGGGGAGACCGGGTCTCCTCTGCGCGACGTCGCCGGCTGCGGCCCGCGGGGGTGGGCTCTGGGCGCGCAGCCCGGCACGGCACGGACGGCCGGGCGGACGCTCCGCTGCGCGCCGGGGCGCGGTCCCGCCATGGGAGCGGAGCGGCGGCGCCGTGGCGCCGAGCACTCGAGACGGAAGTCAAGAGAACGTCGGCAATCTTCGGTGCCAAGCGCGGGGCTCGGGCGACCCGGGGAGGGCCCCGTCTGCGGCCCGCGGGGGTGGACTTTGGGCGCGCAGCCCGGCACGGACGGAAAGAAAGGGTACAATGCCCAGCAGCAGTTCTTGTTCGTCTTGGACAGGATTCGCTGTCCACGCCGCCGCGGCCTGTGGCCATTTCGAGACAGAAGGCCGCCTGCCCAACCGCGGCCGCTGCTGGTTTGTGGCAACATTTGGTGTTGGGCATTGTACCCCTTTTTTCCGTATCCATTTCGGGCGTCCAAGGGTGGCGCCGTGGCGCCGAGCATTCGAGTTGGAAGGCAAGAGAAAGTCGGCAGTCTTCGGTGCCAAAAGCGCGGGGCTCGGGCGGCCCCCGGGGTGGGAGCCCCCGGGAGCGCGGGGGCGCGCGCGGCGGCGTGCGGCGTGCGTCGGCCCGGGGGCTCCGGCCCCGGGCGCGCGCCCAGAGGCTGCCCCGGGGGGTGCGAGCGCGCGCGCTGCCCGGGAGCTACGGCCCGGAGACTGGGATCACTCGGTAGCAGTCGGTCACCGCCCACCAAACCACCCCAACCCAACCCGAAGGCCCCAATTTGCCCTCCATTTCCAGTTGGGGGGGGGTCGGGGAACGTTGAGAAAACACACATGAAGCCCGTACCCCCTCCAACCCGAAATTCGGGTTTTCGGGTTGGGTTGGGGTGGTTTGGTAGGTAGTCAGTCGGGGGTGGACAGAACCCCCCACAGTGACACGTGGGTTGGTGAATTGTCCGTTGTCGGTTCTCGAGGGGGCGCCGTGGCCGTTATTTTCCAGGCTTGTGCCCGCCAGGTTTGGGCCTCAGGTCGCTTTCACTAAACCACGTTTTACTAAAGGGGGCTCTGTCCATCCCCGAAGCAGATCGACTGCACGTAAGAGGGACCTTTCGCCGGAGTGGCCTTTGGTGCGGGCCCACTGGAGCACCCCGATCGCCGAACGCGATGCGGCAGGAGCGTCTTGCGCTCTCGTGCTTGGTCCCCCCGCAGTCCCCGAGAGGCCGCGCACCAAAGGTCACTCTTACCCAGGGTCCCTCTTGCGTGTTGCCGAGCAAATCATGGGAGCCTGATGTACCCTCTTAATTATTTGTTTCACGTCGATCAGCTTCGATTAGCGTCTGGGAGCGGATGAGACAGCTCCGATGTGGCGTCGGCTGGCGTGGACTAGCGTCGGTTCGGCGGCGACTGGCGTCGATTTGGCGTCGATTCGCGTCGGTTTGGCGTCGCTTCAGCGTCGATTCGCAAGAGCCGACAAGCTGGCATGGGAGGCCCCCCCGAGTCGCCACCGACGGATCTCGGGCGCGCGGCCCGGGGGCTGAGACCCGGAAGGCGCGCGTCGCGCGGCCTGGGGTGCTGGCGGCCCCGGAGGTGCGCGGGCGCGAGCTCGGGCCCTCGGCCCGAGCGGCTCGGGCTCGGCCATGGGGCCCCGGGGCCGCGCAGGGCTGACCCGGGGATGTCGGGAGCGGCAAAGAGGGGGGTGCTGATAGGGGGGGGGGGGATATCATGGCGGGGGGCCAATGTTATTTCCTCAGATTTCATGGCGCCCTCTTCTTATTCCAGACGTCCCATGGATGGTCGGTCCCTGGCCCCCCCGCTGGGCCGCGCCACATGCCCGCCGCGGTCATGATTTTGCACCACCACCCCCCCCCCTGGGGACACACCCCCCTCTTTGCGCTCCCGAGGATGGCATGACGGGGGCCCCGTGCACGATCGGTCTGACTGTCTGTGGAGCGCCCGGCGGGCGCCCCATGCCCTGAGATCCGGGCGTCGCAGTCTCGTTCGGGCCGGGCGTTCTCGCATGGTCGTTCGGGCCCCTGGGGTTCGCGCAGATATCGGTGTTTGGCTCGGGAGATGATGTAGAAGGATGGGGTCCGGAGCTCCGGTCGTGATTGTTCCCGATTTTGCGATGTTGTTCGCAACGTCGGATCTCTCAGGGCAGTTTGTTTGCGTCCACTGCCTCCTGGGGCTCTGAGGCATCGGGCCCCCAGGCGGTGGCAGTGTTTAATGCCAGCCTCGGGGTATCGAGATTTCGGTGAGGAGGTGTGTTTGTTTGTTTTGTTTGTGCTACGACGTCGTTTCTGCGTTGACGACGTCGGATGTCGTGGTCGTTCTGCTCCTCGTTCTCCTGCCGCCCTTCCTCCATCAAAGTACGGATGTCGAAGCGCAGAATTGATCACGCAGTGACGATGAAACATCTCGCAGGGGCACGGAAATCATGTTGGCCAGCGTGGACCCCGAACAGTCACTCTGGTAAAACCGATGTGGTGCAACCACGTGGTGTACGCTATGTTGTGTAAGCTATGTGTTGCAAGCTAGGTTGCGTGGCGCAACCTGCGTGGTGCAATCTGCATGCTGCAAGCTGAGCTAGGTGGTGATAGCTAGGTGGTGTAACCCCGGGAAGCATTTAAGAACCCCCCCCCCCCTTCCGGCAAATCGGTAACCCTTCCGCACCCTGGAAGCGTTACCTGGCACCAGGAGCCTTCCTCCTCCTCCTCCTCATCCTCCTCCTCCTCCTCTCCTCCACCCACGAACTTCCTCCTGCCCCCTCCTCCTCCTCCTCCTCCTCTCCTCCACCAGCGCCCCGCACTTCCTCCTGCCCCTCTCCCTCCTCCTTACCCTTCCTCCTCCTCCTTTCCTCCCTCCTCCTCCTCCTCCCTCCTCCTTCCTCCCTCCTCCTCCTCCTCCTCCTCCGCGCCCCCCAATCGTCGTGGGCGAATATTAATATTATTATCATTGCATGAATTTTCCAAGCAGCAAGCGACATCCTGAGTCTTTCATGAGAGCCACGCAGATTTGAATTTCGAATTTCGATTGTGGCCCAGGGGCCAGGCCTCCGCGAATTTGTTTTGTGTCCGGGTGCTAAACCTATCGTTCGGTTATTTCGGCCCCTCGGAATATCGAATAAAAATGCGGTGCTAAGATATCGCCGGGGGGGTTCTTAAATGCTTCCTCGGGTTATGCTATGTGGTGCACGCTGTGTGGCGCAAACTACGTGGTGCAAGCTGTGTTGTGCAGTCTACGTGCTGCAATATACGTGGATCAAGCGATGTGGTGCAAGCTACATGGTGTAAGCTATGTGGTGCAAGCTAACTGGCGCACGCTCTGTTGTGCAGTCTCCGTGGTGCATACTTGTTGTACATCGTGAGTTGTCAACTCCACTGCTCGCGCAAATATCCCAGTCTCCCACCAGCAACTTGATATGCAACACCCATGCTGCCGCGATCGCGATAACTGCTTGGCACTGGCTGGCGCATCTCATCGGCTGTGCTGGCGCGCTCCGGTTTGGCACAAATGATGTAGGCAGTGACGGCGCTTACGGTTTGGAACTTCCCGGTGCGTCCCGAAAGCAACGTTGGCGCGGGCACGTCAATGCGGTTCGGTGGCTCGGGCGGGCGCGATATTGTGATGACGGCGGCAAAGACGACGATGGTAGCGAATGTGGTGGCGACAATGACGATGACGACGGCAAAGTCAATGTCGGCGCCGATGCTGGTGGCGCATGTGGCGATGATGATGTCCATGTGTCAGTGGTGAAGGTGATTGACTGATGATGTTGGCACTGGCG